CAAAGTATACACTTTATAGGTTATGTTTATATGTCCCCCACTTCTATAGTGCTCCTAGTAGCTGCTCTTACAAAACATAAGGAGCACAAAGGAGCAATCTGAGATTGCTCTAGAAAAAAATCTTTTGTGAGCCGAACAGGACAATCTGGTTTAGAGTTACATAGAGCAACCCAGTCGAACATGAAATTTGTGATAAGTGCTCGAGAGCACTCTAGAGTAATCAGCCGAAAACGGTATAAGACATAGGCGATAATAGTGTACGTACATTTTATTGGTTCTTGTAGTCACGTGGTACACGCCGCCATTTGCGGTCGAAACTTTCCAACTTTTGTATGGGGTATTATATAGCAGATAATTACTGTATTTTTTAAATTTTCTCTTAATAAAGTAATTTTTGCGAAATAAATTACTAATGCCATTAATTTTACAGATAGTCTATACCTATCCAAAAGTTGTAAACAACATATGAATCTATTGAAAATTAAGTTTATATTTATGTAGGTGTAGGGACAGAAAACCAACTTATTATATTTCGTCGTGACCCACTTTGTATGTTTTTTGTCTTCCCTTATAGTTTAAATAATTGTTCATTTTACAGGGTTAATCACGCAACTGGTTCATTAGTAGGATACGAAGTTACCATAGGATTTTGTTGAAAATTTGAATACCCAGGTTACTGGCCATGAACTGTTCAATGAAAATATTTTCAAAACTTCCGCTTCCCTATACCGAAAGTTGTTACCTAACCTAACTTTGTTATTTTAAATGGAACACCCTGTATATTATTACATTTTTGGATTCTACATATTAGAGTCCTTTTGTATAAACTTTTTCATATTTAAAATTAGCCGTTTTCAAAATTATACGATTTAAAAAAAATTGCATGCAGCACTGCTAGCTTCAAAAGTAGGTATATGCCTCAGAAACAGTTTACGCGGAAATCTTTGTTTTTGGGTCAATTAAAGTAGAACTCATGGAGATCCTTACGATGTTTTCAAAATTAATCAGTTTTATACACGCCCCCCCCAAAAACTAATTAACAAACCCAAGGAAATTCAAACGTGTCATTTTTTTAATTGAACACTTTGTATATTTTCACATTTCTGGATTCAGTAGAAAAATCTAAGTCAGTATATAAAAGGGTTGCTAGAGTTATTCTTGATGGTTTCTGATTTATCAACACTTTTCTGTTTAAAATGCGAAAAATCATGTTTCGTGTAAAAAACTCATAGCTACTACCTATGAAAACAAAAGGCTAAGCCCTGCCCTGTCAAAGCACCAAAAAAGACTCACTGTCGTTTCTGTGCTCCTAAAAATGGATGAAGTGAATAATTATTCGAATAGTGATATTTTAAACTTATTCTTTATTCATAGCGAATGTAACAAGGTTCTGAACAGGAATGACAAAAAAGAAATTTAGGAAGATTGAATCAAACTTTTTGCGTTTTGGGAAAGTTACAGCAACAAAAATATTCCAAGTTCTGTAACAGCTGATGAAGGAAATGAAATTACGGTTATCCAAATACATACTTCGATACCAACATCTTCGACCGAATTTCATTAATACAATTATTACATCATTTTGATTTCTTAGGTTTGTTATACAGTATAGAATAGACTCTTTAATGCGAACTCACCTTAATCCGAATATCCACTAATCCGGCCCGACGAATGCCCGTTTCGATGGTCCGACCAAAACGCTTTAATTCGAACAAAATTCAGTTTAACGTATATGTATAGTTCGGATTATAGAGTCAGACTATATAATAAAAAGTAACAGCTAAAAACGTAATTCCCGGCAGTCTCGAGGAAACCCTGTTTCTCGATTAAATCTTTTTAATTGAAATATTATTGTCGTGCAAACATGTTGCAAAAGAGAAAGCATCACATGTTAACCCTTTTGCAAAAAATGGATATTCTAAATAAAATGTTTTTTTTAAGTCTTCTTTTTTGTTTTAAAACATGCATATCCATATTATACGATAATGTTTTCTTTTATTGTTATTTTTGCCTTCTCAGTAACATATAAAATCTAATTCATATTATATGTATGTACAACGTACATAAACATATTTACATATGTACATATTTAGTATCCAGTAATCCGAAAATATCGGTAATTCGAACTGATCTCTTTAAGTCCGTGTCTTATTTAGTTCGGATTAAAGAGTGTATCTATACTGTATATTCTACGATTCAGAGAATCCTAAAAAAAACCCAAAATACATCCTTTTTCATTCACAATTTTACAAACTTTCTATCCGGGAGATGACAGGAGAAGAACGGAAATTTTTACTCGAAAAAATTCACGAGGATCCACAGTTCTTATCAAAAACCAACTAGACGGATAAGTCTTAAGTTTACCAGAGACGGTGTAATAAATCGAAGGAATATGCACTACTGGGCCCGTCAAAGTCCACACGTTATAAAAGAGGCACACCATCAGGATTCTTTCCGTGTCAACGTATTTGCAATGATTATGGGCGACCAAGTTCATTACGAAATTTATAATGAAAACCTAAATAGCAATATCAAAGATATCTGCAACTCCTGAGAAAGACTGTCGCAAACTTGTTAGACAATTTCCCGTTGAATGTGCTAAATAGTTGTTGGTATCAAATGGATGGAGCTCCAGCACATTCTACCCACGAAGTATGTCGAGAAGTAACAGGAAAGTTTGGCGACCGCTGGATTGCTAGTAACGGACCTTGAAGTTGGCCGCCTGGATCCCCTGATCTGATACCTGTAGACTTTTTCCTGTGAGGACATATAAAAAGTCAAGTTTACTCCAAACCTATTCTCAGCATGGATGATCTCCTAAATAGAATTAGGATTAGTTTCCAAGGGCTCCATTACCTTAGAAGTGCTAGTGTTAACGAAGTGGAGAAAAGAGTGCTAAAGTGCCTAAAACAAAATGAACGTCATATAGAATATTTAAACCTTTAATTAATATTGGCTTATTTAATAATTTGTTTTTAGTCATCATAAGTATAATTTCTGAATGGCAACATTCTTGCTGTTAACTTTCCCAAAACTCAAAAAGTTTGATTCAATCTTCCTATTTTTTTTTGTCATTGCTGGTAAATGAGGATATGTTTCATTAAATGTGCGGCATGTCCTGTTCAGAACGTTGTTACATTCGCCATGAATAAAAGATAAGTTTAAAATATCACTATTCGAATAATTATTCGCTTCATCCATTTTTAGGAACACAGAAACGTCAGTGAGTCTTTTTTTGGTGCTTTGAGCGCCCCGAAAAAAACCCTGATGCGATTTTCGGCTCGTTTACGCGAATTTTACAGGAAAACTCCCAGAGATGACGTCCATGTCCTGGTTCCGATGCACCAGGTGTCCGGGGGGCTCTCGCCGACGCCAGATTAGGAGTCAGCGACCCGAAAAAAAAACCCAAGTCTCGCTGCATTTAAGAGTGAAATTCAGGAGAAGCCTCGGAGATGACGTTCCTTCCTAGGCTCCAGGTCGGCGATGGACCAATTTGAAGATCATATTCGGGATCAGCGACTTCGAAAACTTCCAGGACCCTGATTTGAGTCCATTCCAGGCATTATTAACCGAGTTATGAATTTTTTCTAAGTGACTTTAAAAATGCATTTTTCCAGATGCATTTTGCACTCCACAAATGCAATTTGGCCGAAAAACAGAATACAAAGTTGCTACATTTTTTCCACATAATTTTAGAAAGCGATTGCAAAAATACCCATCTTGATACGACTTGATCGAAAAATTTCGGAGAATTCGGTTCTTTTTGTGCTTTATTTTCTCGATTAAAATTGGACAATGTCATATAATAATAACATAAATATTTAGTTGTTGTTTAGGTTACATTTTGAGTATTAATAATAAATTAATCCGCTTTTTAATTAGCTTGTCTCTAACAATATAGCTGCAACCACTGTACAAGTGTATTAGAATCTAAATCATTATCAAAATTATTTGCCAAAACAGAACCTCACTGGCTAAAGTTAAACTATTATAAACTGCAAGCATTACAATATCGTATGATACTAAAATCGAATTGTCGTCAAAATGACGACATCAAATTGTTTTGATCACAGACCTAGATAATTTCTTCAGATTTATGGTTTTAACGAAATAAATATATTGAAAATTTGATAGTGATAGTGATGCGTTGCTATAGCAGTACCTAAATGGACTAAAAAAAATGAATGAATTGACGTCTGCTACTTTATTGTTGACATGTGCAGGGGAAGGCTGTAGAAAAGGTGTCTCATCTCGTCATTAGTTTGTTTTTTTAACAATTTGGGGTTCAAAATCAGTTTTTCCAATATATTGGAAATACTACTGATTGATTTTAGAGAAAAATGTTTAATAGACGAAAAATGTGCAAAAAAGATCTACAAAATGCCATAGATTAAAATCGGATAAATTATTTAAAAGTTATTGCAAAAAACATAAAAAAAACGTGGAAAAACAGCATTTTTTTAATTATCCATAATTTGGTTGTTATTTGTTGGAATTTTATAAACATGCCTAAAAGTTGTGTTTTATTGTTCTTCAAAACTGTGCGAAAATTTGGCGCTGTGGACCCAATAGTGTTTGCAAAATTCTACTTATTTATCCCGTAAGTCGTTACTTAAATATTACAAATACAGTTTTTTCTAAAATTTCTGGTATGTAGTTGTCAACAAGAAATAAAATGAAAATAATTTGTTTACACCATTTGGAAGCTATGCATTTAACAATGGGCGAGCAGCAAGTCAGTTGCTGTATGCCCATACTACATTCAAAGACACGATGGAAAACATTATTCACGTCTTCAGCAACAGCAGAATCTCACTTCCTAAACTCTTGGTCGAGAATAAATCGAAGACGTTATCGGTCGCGATAAGGAAACCATAGCGCCTTCTAAAGGTCATGATCCTAATTATCATATTTCGACATTAATTACATTTGGTTTAACACACGATAACTTCAATATTGTTATTTTTCTTGTGCTCTAAAAGTTTTGCCATTCTCATTGCATCACTCGCGATTCGTATTTAACGCTATTAGGTTAGATAAGAGCTTTTTCAACAATCAACAAAGATTATAAATTAAAGGAATTAACATATTGTTATTATTATTCATTGACGTTCATAACTGGACAGGCCGAGTATACGCGTAACTCGCGAAGAAATTATAGCAAGGCCAGTTGTGCGTGTTTTTAGCAACAGTATTATAGTGCGCGACTTTCGAAAGTTTCTATTTTTGTGTGCACTTACAGTGATAACCGGTTTCCCCTGAAGATGTCTGTAATTACTTCGAAACAGGTAATACAAAGCATTACAAAGCAGATTATAGAATTAGAAAAAGATATTTAATTTATCCTCATTTTGACTACTGGTATCAAACCATTTAGAATTTGAATATTGATTGTAAGTCATTCATTACAACCAATATCTGGCTGAATGGAAATTAATTTGTAAGACTTTTATTTGGAACTTGGGTTTAACACTTAACAATGCTTGACGCATAGGCCAATAAATAGAGGTTTTGTTTATGACAAATATGCTAGTAGCTAACGGACTGTGGCGTCATATAAAAGACAGTGTAGATATATACAATGTGGTTCACTTAAAGACGGACTACCTTCGTATTTAGGATGGCGTTGGCCGATTTACAAAATTCTTTTATTTTGTGATAGTACTCAAAAAGGCCTACTTTTTGATATTATATTCTTTGGCATGTGGTATTTTCTGCGGCTATCAACACCCTCAAAAATTAAAAAAACATATTAGGCATTTTTTAAGACAAAAATGAAGACAAATGAATAGCATTTTCGATTTGATCACACCTCAAAACTCTAAATACAAAGTTTCATCATTATAGCTTTTACAGGGTGTTCACAAAATAGGTGCAAACTTCGAAAAATTTCACTCATTGCAGAGTGTCCTGTATTAACAGTGGAAAATATTTTGAAGGTATTTTTTCATAACTTTATTAACCGAAGGTATATCCACGCAGTTTCATTAATTTCACTCATACAGGACGCTCACAATAAGACAGCCAAATTATATATATTTTTTATTATACCAGAAATGAGATCTAAATATTACTATTTTCTATTAGTCCACCATCATTTGGTATGCACCCTTCAATTCGTCTCCTCTTATTTTTAATAACTTTCCTCAACTGATGTGGTGTTATATGTCGACATGCTTGTCTAATTCTATTACATAAATCTTAATTAAAAAAATGTATGTGTTTTGTGGGATTTTATGTGATCGTATAATCGGGCCCTTCTTTTTTTACGTTAATCTAAACGCAAAGATTTTTATGAATTTTTGAAATAATGGTTTCTGGACTGAATTCATTTTCTCTTCATGTAAGACAGAACCTCTACCTTCAATTATATGGAGCACCTATTCATAATGCGGTAATAGTACGTCATTGGATTGAATGAGTATTTCCCAAGAACAGTCCGTTAGTTGAGTGGCCGTCAAGAGCTCCAGACTTGAACCCTCTTGATTTCTTTTTATGGGGAACTGTGAAAAAAATAAAACAAGGCCCCAGAACAGGGAAGATTTATGTAATAGACAAGCATGTCGACAAATAACACCAAATCAGTTGAGGAGAGTTATTAGAAATAATAGGAGAAATGTTTATATCCAAAATTAATTAATGGTAGATTGGAGTAAGAAACATACAGTGGGGAACAGCCAACTGGAATAAATTCATTATCTCAATTATTGTGCACATTTATAAAAAATCGTCGATTGTGGATACCAAAATGACCTTGGGACGTAAAAATTTCATCCCCAAATGCAACCCTCTTCAAGTGTCAGTTGCTACTCCTAAATTTTTAAATGAGAAGTAGGACCTTATGATACCTCATTTGAAAGGTATTTTCATTGCCTATTCAAAAATGCTATGGTTTTAATATTTATTGCAAAAATTAATGGTTTGCTTAACGAAATACTATACCAGACCTTCAAAAAATGTGGTGGTGTTGGAATTTGGTGCAAGAAACATTTAGAGGCAAATACGGTTAAAGTTAATATTGAATGCACTGAATCAGATTTTGAGTATTGCGTTGCATCGTTTCTCCATCTGGAGACAAATTTTTTAACAAAATATGTGATCTGTTAGATTATTAATTAAACCTACCACTAATGCAATAGTTTGCGGTGATTTTAATTTTGACGCATTTAACAATGTAGATTTTAAGAATCTGTGTAATGTGTTGTCTAATTTTAATTTAAAACCTACTGTACGATGGCCAACACGAGTAACGAATACGTCTTGTACCTTAATTGATAATATTTTTGTAAATTTTAATAACGAGGGTATTTGTACTGTCTTTGATAATATTATCTCGGATCATAGGTCTGTTTGGTTAGAGATTGATGATCATAATTTGAAACCCCGTAGAAAAAACTTTATGGGACGACTTTTTAAGGAAGATAATATTTCTTTATTTTTAGATAATCTATCCAAAGAAAATTGGCATGATTTGTATCGCTGTACTCAAATGAATGAAGCTTTTTATTGTTTTAATGATTTGTTTATGTATTATTTTAATTTAATTTTTCCTGAGCGTAAATGCTTATAAGGTTCAGAAAAAGATGTGGATAATTAATGAAATTATCGAATCTAGTTGTAATATAAAAGATTTATATTACTTAAAACAAACATATCCCAATTTAGACTCCACTTATAAAGAAAATAAAAAAAGCATACTATATTAATTCGCGAAACAAAGAAACTATTTTATCAAAATAAAATTTCCAATTCCAATAATTCCTCACGCACTGCGTGGAATATCGTTTCCGAATTATCTAATAAAAAAAAAAGAAGAATAGAATATTGTAGTTATCCAAAGTAATAATAAATTAATAGACAATCCTTTAGAAATTGCTTCAACTTTTAATAGTTACTTTACTGGCGCTCCAATGAATGTTGTAAATAAAATTCGTGGTTCTGATCATACTGCAAATTATACAAGTAGAGTAAAAATAAATGATGTATTTTTGGATAATACAATTTTTCTTTTTCCGTTTACTGAGCAGGAATTGTTTAGAGTGCTTAGTCAAAAATTAAAAAATAAAAGGTCAGCTGGAGCGGATGGCATTCCCTTGTTTTTAATAAAACTTGCATTACCGGCTTTAATAGAACCACTAACTTTCTTGATCAACTTATCATTTCAGACTGGAGTTTTTCCGGAGATACTAAAAATAGGGAAAATAATTCCTGTTCTAAAAAAGGGGGATCCACAGTTATTAAATAATTACAGGCCTATTACTGTGCCCTGTGGCTTCTCAAACATTTTTGAATGCGCCTATCTAGATAGATTAATGTCGTTTATAAATAAATATAGTATTTTAACCACTCATCAACATGGATTTCGAGCAGGATTTTCAACTACTACTGCCATACATTCTTTTTACGGTGAATTTGTTAAATGTATTGACATGGGTGAGTGCCCCGTAGGCATCTTTTGTGACCTTAGTAAGGCATTCGACTGCATACAGCATGATAACTTACTACAAAAATATGGTGTCCGGGATTCTGCTTTAAACTGGATTTCTACTTTTTTAAAATATAGGAAACAATATGTGTCTATTACTTCTATAAGTGATGACTTTACTAACGACTTTAAATCTGAATCTAATTCCATTGACATGGGTGTTCCTCAAGGATCAGTCCTAGGCCCTGTACTATTTATTCTTTATATAAATTCAATGGAGCGTTCGATAGGTAATAATTTTTTCACAATGTATGCTGATGATTTATCATTAATTATTTCAAATAAGTCAACAAAAGACCTGACTACTAATCTAGAAAATACATTGTACAATGTGTCTCAGTGGTTCAGTTGCAATAACTTATATTTAAATACCGACAAAACTAAATTAATTAGATTTCACAATAGGCAAAAAAAATGCAGGCCTGTTGCGGCAAATATTAACAACTGCACTATTACCAGTGATGACTGTAACAAATTTTTAGGAGTTACTTTGGATGATATATTAAATTGGAAAATGCATTGCAATAATCTTATATCTACATCAAGTTCAGTAAGCTACTTAATAAAGTGTATGAAAGAAATTTTGCACGAACAACAATTGTTAAATTTATATTATGCGTACGTCGAGTCTAAATTGCGTTACGGAATATGTTTTTGGGGTAACTCTACCTTGTCTCATTCAGTTTTTATCATACAAAAACGTATTTTAAGAATAATTGCTGGCGTGCCACGTCATCGTACATGTAGAGATATATTTAAGAATTTAAATGTTCTTACGTTAGTATCATTGTTTATTTTTGAAATGTCTGTGTATACAGGGTGATTCAAAAAACCGGTGACAGACTTATAGGGTAAGTAATACATGAAAAATTAAGACGAAAACTCTTAATAAACATAGGGTCGCAAACGCCTCCTTAACGAGATACAGGGCGTCAAAGTTTCTGTAAAATTAAAGCGTAAAAATGACGAAAAGAAGCTTATAATCTAGTTTACTTAACTCACTTGTACACATTAACATTAGTGACAGGCGATGTTTAATTTTATTTTGAATAGCACAAGTCTACTATGCGAAACTAAAATGAATGAAAATAAAATTTGATTTACAAATTTTCTACAAAGGCGTTTCTCTTAAAAATGGTTGCTTTAATCCAAATTTTGCAAGGGACCAATTCGATAGACAATTGAACACTTTGCACGAAAATAGTGCCCGTTTGACAAAATTAGCAGTGGCGTAGAAAATATTTTTAAAAAAGGGTCACCCCGTCTCTACGACACTGCTACTCATAAAATTTTGAGCAGTACATCAAACATTGGTCTTAAGGTGCTAACTACGCATAGCAAATTTGAAATAGAAATGTTCAGGCATTTTGGAATTATTGCAGACAATGTTTCATTTTACAGAAACTTTGACGCCCTGTATCTCGTTAAGGAGGCATTAGCGACCCTATGTTTATTAAAACTCTTCGTCTTAATTTTTTATGTATTATCTACCCTAGAAGTCTATTAGCGGTTTTTTTAATCACCCTATATATATAATAATGAGTCTTTAATTCTCAATAAGGATATACATACAATCAATACCAGACAATGCTATGATATCCGAATTCCTTTTGCAAAATATACCATAACAGCTAATTCACCAGATTGTCTGGGATTTAAGATATATAACAATTTACCGAGTGAACTCAAGACTGATAAGATTACAATATCTCAATTTAAACAAAAACTGAAATTATTTTTAGTAGATAAGTGTTTTTATTCTTTATTGGAATTTTTTCTGCTGTTGTGTCTTAGGTTAAGTTA